CGAATACCAAGCATAACAACTGATAGTGTTTCAGTCCAGTTATTGGTTTCGTGAGCCTTGAGAGAAGATTTTAAATGTCGATGAAATCGTTCAACGATGCCGTTGGACATTGGATGATAGGCTGTTGTGATTCTGTTCGTACCCAAAATGCGGGTAAATTCTGCAAAAATTGCGGATCTCATTTGAGAACCTTGGTCTGTTGTTATGACCGATGGGCAGCCAAAACGAAATATCCAACAGTTGAAGATGGCTCTGCAAATGGTTTCCGTTTTCATATCCGGGATGGGAATGGCTTCAGGCCATCTGGAGAATCTATCTATTAGAGTCAAAAGGTACACGTTGTCTTCTGATGGAGGTAACGGTCCGACGATATCCATATGGATTTCTGAAAAATGTGCATCACGAAGAGAGAATGTGCCCAGTGGTGCTTTGGTATGCCTAGTAATTTTCGATTTTTGGCAAGGTTCACAGGATTTCACCCAATTTTTTATATGACGTTTGATATCGGGTCATACATAACGAGAACAAATGAGCTTCGTAGCTGCAATTCCTATATGTGACAGATTATGCAGATGATTAAAGATGAGTCTGCGAAAGGAATTCGGAACAAATGGAAGAGAATTTCCGTTGATATGTCACAAAGAATATTACCATCAGAATACTGGCACGGTTTAAATTCCAGTTTCAAAGATGATGTGTTGTTTTTGAGAAGGTCTTGTACCTCCGGATCATGTCGTTGAGCTTCCGAATTTTTTTTTAAATCCAAAAATGGAGATTTTGTTATGGAATCAATTTCAATTCTTGAAAGAGCGTCAGCAACGACGTTTCTTGAACCTTGCACGTGCCTAATATCAGTAGAGTACTGAGAAATAAAATCTAAACGGCGCAATTGTCGAGGTGAACATTTATGAGGGTTCTGTTTAAAAGCGTATATTAACGGTTTTTGATCCGTATAAATTATAAAATTCTCTGCCCTCTAACATGTGTCGGAATTTCTTAATTTGCAGAATGCAATTGAAACATAATTCCCTATCGTACGCGGACCATTTCTGTTGACTTTTATTGAGTTTCATAGAGAAAAATGCTACAAGGTTCCCATGTTTGTTGAGACAACTGCATAAGTGTGCCGCCTATTGCGACGTCTGAAGGCATCTACCCAGATGCTTTCCGGGAATAGGGTGTCTTAAAAGGGTAGCCTGAGCAATGACATTTTTGGCAGCAGCTTTAAGAATGAAACATCTGTAAAAGTTAAACATGCCTAAAATTCGGCGAAGCTGAGTAAGAGTGGTAGGTTGAGGAAAATCTAAAATACATTTGACTTTGTCAGGAAGAGGTTCAATTCCGTTTTCACTAAGGTGAAAACCTAAGAAATCAATAGACGTTTGACCAAGCATTTGAAACATTTATGCAAAGTCGATAGTCCTGAAGTTTGGAAAATAAAGCTTTCAAATGCCTGCAATGTTCCTCAGAATCTTTAGAGGCTATGAGCAAGTCATCGACGAAAGCGTAAACACCTTCTAAATCCCGCGTGACTTCACCTATAAAGCGTTGAAAAGTCGCGGATGCATTGCATAAGCCGAATTTGCAAACGGGTACTTTCGAATAAACCGAATGGTGTGCATATGGCGGTTTTGCGGATGTCGGCTGGGTTAATTGGTATTTGATGGTATGCCTTAATCAGGTCAACATGACTAAAAATTTTAGTACCGTGCAATGCAGCAGTAAAATCAGCTAAGCATGGAATAGGGTATTTGTCTTTTATTGTTTGAGCGTTCAATGCTCGATAATCTTCTACAGGTCTCCATTCCAGACTTCCCTTTTTTGGAACCATGTGAAGTGGGGATACATAATTGCTGCTCGAAGGTCTCAAATGCCCCAATTGCATCATAGTTTGAAATTCTTGTTTTGCTATTTTTAAGCGATCTGGAGCTAACCGACGAGGTTTTGCAACCACAGGTGGACCTTTAGTTATGATATAATGAACGGTGTTGTGTTTAACAGGTTGGTTAGGATCTGGTAATCTAGTAATTGAAGGAAATTCTTTTAAAATTTTGTGATATGGTGTATCACTAAATACAGTTTTTACTGAATAAATGCTTGCATTTTTCACGCAGCCGACGGTTTTAAACAGCGTTTTTAAATCTTTGAGACATTTGTTTCTGAGATCAGGCACCAATTCAAAGAACTGGAGAAAATTTGCTCTAAGAATGGGTGTACTAACATTTGCTACAAGAAAAGTCCATGTAAACTGTCGTCTTAATTTGAAATCCAAAGAAAGTGTTTTTTGACAATAAACATGAATAGTGGAAGAATTAGCAGCGAAAAGTGTTTGTTAGGGAGAATTCCGTTTTTGAGAATTATTTGCTGGACGTAAGGACACGTCAGAGCCGGTATCGACGAAGACTGAAAGATTTGTTCTACGGCCACGAACGAATAGGCGACGTGAAACTTGAGGCAAAGAATAAGTCGCCTCTATTCTTTGCTGGCTTTGTTTCCCAGCCTTGAACAAGGTTTTGTACATTTGTCTTCTCTACACTTTTTCACAAAACGTCTGTGATACTAGCAAACAGAATAATCTCTTCTTTTGGAATTGCTTCTTTCCCTATTGCGATCTCCGCGATTTGGCAAGCGACCACGAGAAAGAGAAATGCGATCAATACGTTTGTTTAATTTTTCTACTTGTTTAAATAATTTATCGTCAAAAGACTGATCGACTGTGCGAGAAACAACACAAGTCCCCTCAGTGGCTAATCGCACCGACGGTGCGAATAGCTAACAGGCTATTCACACCACCTACGTTCGCGCATGCGCACAATCAGCCCAGGTACCAGGGTTTTACCAAAGAAAGTCTATGTATTAAAGAACATACATATTCTTTGGTTTTACCCCGATTTCCGTAAAGCAGGCGGTAGTGAGAGCAAAGGTTGTTAACCGCAATTCAGCAATAGAATGGGTTGTTAATAGTTCACCAGCAAGAGAATAATTTGCAAGTAATAATTATCAGTTACCAAGACGAGGTCAATCTATATACATGATAATGTTCAGGAAATGATTAGATAAAATAGGGATTTAATGATGGTTCTAATTGCAAGCGAGGACGAGTAATCAATTAAAAAATCTTTAGTGTATTGACAAAAAGGCTACAGAAATTACTTAAATTCTTTCATTTAACAGAGAAATTTTTATGCAAACTTAGACCCTATTCTTATAGCATAGGACTATCAGAATTTATTATTCAATAAGGCGCCGAGGCTGCACCGTATACTAGGTAAAATCCTAGTATACGGTGCAGCCTCGGCGCGATTTTGTAAATTATCGCCAACACCAAAAATGATCCAAAGAACGTCTATATATATATACTATACACTATATGCTATGTGTGTATATACATAGTATATACACTATATATATAGTATATACTATGTATAACCATATATATTCTTTGAATGACCTGTTTACTACTCATCGATATGTCGCGTTTTTACTGCTCATCATAAAGTCGCCAAAAGTAGCCAAATCCCGTGTGCACCGGATAATAGGATTAAACCGAAAACTTACTGAAAATGATAATATTCTTATATATTCATCACTTTTTCAGTATCCACACAGGTTTATAGGTTCAAATGCCATATTTCAAAATCAAAGAAAGTTTATGAAATAAAACCATACAAAATATGATAAATCATTCGTGTGTGCAAATTTTTAAATCAAAATCTCTTACATTAAATTATTTCTGTCTTTTAAATTACATCCCATTATTTATTTCAATTTAATTGATTAATCTGTTTGTACTAATATTTCAAAGTTCTTTGAAGCACTTTTTGTGTTCTGAAAATGCCAAGTATTTCCATAAACAAAAATAAGCAGGCATACAGAATAATTAATTTAATAGTTGATATAATCGCTTTTCACTTATTTCATGTCTAAATTTTCTACACAGAAATCCTCTGACTAATTTTTAGTGTCTTTTATCGGACGAAATTTTTCAAAGAGGAATGAAGTCTTGATTGCGCAAAACATATCTTTAAAGCTAAATGTATTCTAAGAAAAAAATGCAAAAAATGTAAACAAGGTTTTGTGCCGCCCCAAATCAGTCATTTAAACTATTCAAGCCGTTCAGGAAAAAGATAAACATTGCGAACATAAAAATCTACCCTTTTTTATATATACTTTAATAAAAGGAAATGTGTTCCTTCTTTTTATAAAAAAAGGAACCCATTAAAAAGAAGGAACATATTTCCCTTTGTAAACGTTTGAAAGTCGTCAGCGTTTAAAAAATGATAAACTACGCCAAGGTAGAAACCCGCCTTTTTTTTAAAAAAAAAATAGGTTCACTAGAACAGTTCGCGTACGTAGAATCCGTTCCTTTCGAGTGGGACCCTTGATTGACGTATCTGACAACTCAATGCGCATGCGTGTTTAATGTTGGTGCGAATAGCTTAAGCGGCTAATCGCACCGGTGATGCGAATAGCATCGGCCCAATCTTTTGCCGATCGGAAGAAAATTTAAAAATTTGGGAAAGTTTCTGTTTCATTATAAAATACTGTAGACTGGCTGTTTTCAATCACAAAAGCTACTCTCAAAGCGATATTAGTCAATATGTGCCTGTTTCCACTTTTATGGTTTTGATAGCCATGGATTCTATTAATAATTTTAAATGTTCATAGCCTTTAAAAGTAAAAACTTTCCACATTTTTACGAATGATTAAATTCATTTTATTATTTGTGTTTCAGTAATAAGTATATTTTAGGCGTTTATTAATGCAATTATCTTGAATTGCTAAAGTAAACTGTAGCATGCTCCAAACGTTCAGTTACAATTATCTGAAAAATATTTATTGGTCCCAAATTTAAAATATAAAAATAAAAAGCATTTTTGTTAATTTTCGATTATTTAATCTAAATTTCGGAACATGATTATTTCACAAATCCTCACTTGAGTTCACGTGTACTGAACTTACAAAACTGTCTGTCTGTCTTAAAAACTCTTTTAACTGCAAAATAATACTGTGGATAATTTTTGTTTACATAATGTGTGTCTTCTGTGTTTGTTAAAAGTTTTTCAATGTTTTCTTTCTTGCTTGTTTTGTTCGTTGTTGTAGGCTGCGGTCTGTCATTATTCATAATAGTTTTGCTTCTTTTGAATCCAAAAAAGTTTCAAAATGCGGATAATGTAAGTACAGTATAGTTACTGGAAATTATTTTGCGCAATTATATAAGTATGTTGAAATATTAAAATTATGAATTTGCATTTCTCTTAAACAATTATTGCATTTATGATATTCAGATAGTTTTATTTTAAATAATTCAATTATTGGTCTATATTGATTCACAATATTGTTTTTAATAATTTTCTATTTTATGAGCCATGAATGAAAAAGGCGGGGACAAGAAAAGTAGTTTGTTTGCAGAATTGAAAATAGGTGAAATATTTTCAATTCTGCAAACAAATTACTAAGGTGAAATAGAAAAACGTATGTTTTCTTATTCTTAAAAATTAGGTATCAAAATACGTGTTAGTTTCACGGTGGTATATTCGCTTCAAGTATGAGCCTTTGATTTTTCTTTTGACACCAAGCAACTAATATTGTTGACAATATATGTATAAGAGATATTATTTTATCTTCGAGATTAACAAAGAAATTAGTTATTTTATGTTAAATTAATTAAACAGTGTGCCGGTAGCGGCATCTTTCTGCTAAGCCGGATTTAAGTTTTGATCTAACACCAAAGAATATTAACAGGGGGGAAAAATTATAAACCTCTAACTGCTATTTTTGCCGTGTAAAATATGTATATCCATCTAAAAAATTTTAATTTGAATAATATACGTTTACTTGTACATAAATATAATTTGTATATTAAAAAATTCAGTCATTTTTATTTTATAATGAGAAATATTTACTTTTAGAGTATTCACTAGGTATGCAAAATAATCGGAACACAGTATTTAAAGATGTCTATCCATACCCCATTTGATTACAGAATGAAATGTAAAAGTATCTATATCTTTCTTTGCATAATTGTTTTCATAAAGTCCCATTTTACACGTAGTTTGCAAAATCTAAGTAGTTGGGATGAAAACAAGAGAGTAACCTGTGGAGGAATCTTGACAGATTTTTCATAGAGGGCCAATTGGAAGTACATGTGTCATTGGTGTATTGATGCCAGTTAAAAGGTCATTGAAAGTTTTAAAAGCTATTGTGTTTAAAGTTATAATGGTATACAGTTTTCATGGCAAAATAACATTAATGAGAGCAAACTACAGCTATGTACTTTTCTTTGCCTTCATAATCAAATTTCAACATTATTCAATTATTATCGAAACCACATTAAGATCTTTATACCTCTGCGAGCGTTTTTTGAAGAAATAGTGTGGTTTTAGTGAAAAAAAATGGTGATATGTACTACTTATCAGCATCCTGGATTTGTTTATTTCCATTCTAGGAAGATTTGAGTTATTCAGATGCCAAAAATGGTTTTGTGTAATACATCTGTTTTCATTATTGTATAATTCTTAGTATATATTCTTAATGTATAATTCTTAGTATAGTTTTGTATAATTTTTAGTATGTGTGGCCCATTAATGGTGAATCAGTTAAGATTGCTGAATGCTGGTAGTTTGACTGATTTCAAATATCTGGATGGTATTAAAGAGGATGATTTGTCACATCCCATGGTCTTTTTCTTGTAACATTATTGTATAGTATCCATTTCTCATCTGTATCATCTCTAGTAATGAGCAGTTTCAAAAAAGGAGCTTATTTTTATTTATTTATTTTTTTTCCCCAGCAAAGAATCCCGCTGAAAGCGTAGCAAGCATCTTCTGCTTTGTTAAAGTATGGGGCAGCTATGCATCTTAGCAGCTTACATATCCTTTGTTCTTTAAATGATCATGTACTGTACTTTTTGTAATATTTAGTCTGTCTGATAGTTGCTTAATTGCATATTAATATAGATGACTTTCAGAAGAAGCTTCTTTTTGCCGTGCAGTCTTTATTTATAGAAACTGGTTGGCCTGACTGAGTACCATTTCCAAGGCCGAAATTTTCACCCTTAAACTTCTAAAACAGCTTTTGGACTATGTCATTAAACACATCACTTTGTTCGTATATAATAAAATTTTGTAAGCAGTCCGACTTCCATTTTCATCCCCCCCTTTTTTTTTTCTTTCTTTCTTTCTTTCTTTTTTTTTTTTTTAAATAAAAGGGCATAAGATCATGAAAATGAATGTTTAGGTTTTCCACACTTAATACTACACAGAAGCAAAAATTGTGCCACAGTACTTGCTAAAATAATGCAACATGAGCAGAAAAGATCATACTAAAACATTGACTTCAATCCCATTCTGTCTTTAACAAAATAACAAGAAGAAAACTCACTTCAGTTTGGGAAACTGCAGAATTTTCTGGATGATGCAATAATACAAGTTTAGCATTGATAGTTAGCAACATAGCACCCAAACAGTTACTGATAATAAAATTAATACTTTTTTATTAAATGCCATCATGCTTAGATTTGGCAAAAATGACTTTATCTATAATATGCAAGTTGCAAATGTTACGAAAAGCTTACGCGATATCTTCGTTAACTCTCTGAGTGCCATGACCGGTCATGAAATTTTTTTGTCATTTTGTATATATTAGTTTATAAGGTAAAAGAATATTTATGGGTACCCCTTGGTGATTTTTGGCGGTACATGGATACTGAGTTTGTGCAATTCTTTGGCTTGTTATTTTGTCTTGTGCAATACTTTGACTTGTTATATTGTCTTGTGCAATTCTTTGACTTGTTATTTTGTCTTGTTTATTAGCAGTGATTTTTAAATCGCCTACCGAGTTTGTGCAATTCTTTGACTTGTTATTTTGTCTTTGTGTAGTGGTGATTTAATAATCGCCGCTACACAAAGACAAAATAATAACTCAAAGAATTGCACAAACTCTGTATTTGTGTACACATTGGCCTATTTTCACTTAAAAAGACATCACAGAATTGCACAAACTAGGCATTGCACACTCCTTTGACTTTATCCATGTACATGCTGACCTATTTTCAGTTTAAAAAAAATCGGACAATTGTACAAACTTGGCATTATGCACTCCCTTGACTTTGTCCATATACACATCGATATATTTTCACTTAAAAATTTAAAGGAGCACCCAAAGTATAGTTGAGTTTTTCTTTTCTGACACCAGTTGTTACGTTATCTTCTTCCTTCACGTTCATACGGGGTTTGTGTGGATTTGGAGTGAATAACGACGGCACTTGAAGAAGTATTGAAACACACTCATTTACCAATATTGATCAAGACAGCTCCAAAGTAATGTTTTACAGTCGTCGAAGATCTACTATACACTCACTGGAACAATCAGCGACACAGCCTTCACACTGTCAAGCGAAAACGGTGGAGACAGCTTCACTGCAAAGTACAGCTCCCAAGTCTGCTTGGTCATTCCCGGAACTTCACATATTCTCTAAACTCTCCTCACTACAACACACGATGCACTCGACGATACACAGAGCACAGCTCCCGACTCTTTGGTCCAGTTGTTCCCGAAGCTTAACACACTCTCTCAACGATGCACTAACCGAGATACACTTAAGACACTCTTCGATGCACTCGACGACCCACTCGGCACTTGCTGACCGGCTGTCAACTCGTTCGTCTCCGCACAGACTAACTAGATGAGACACTTAACTATCTTGCACTCTCAAAGACATTCACTAACTGACTGCGGACCAGTAGGGTTTATATAGCTTTTGGCTTTTGTTCGAGAACATTCTGGCCTAAACTGGTAAGAATTCATTCCAGAAGGTTCTTCATCTGTCCATGGCATGTCGCCAAATGTGGCAACCCTGCCTTCCCTCGCCATATTATTGCAACTCTAAGCCTGCTTTGCAGGGAAGCCATCTTACTGCGCCTGGACATTTCGTAACAGTGTATTTGCAGAACATTCAACTACTCAGGTTACCATAAATTAAACAACTTCGCAAGAAAACAAGGGGTACCCTTCAGTCTATTCTAACCACTTATAATTCAAGATATTTTGCTTTCTTACATTTTTGAATATTATAAATGTCATCTTAATAAATGAAATTTTATTAAAATAGATACTTACATAAGTAAATTTATAAATAAATAAAAGTAAAAAATAAATAATAATCTAATAAAGAGTGTTTAAATACAAATACTTCATGTTAGATCCAAAAACCCATGCTGCTTAGAGGGTTAAAGAGGAAGTACTGACAAGCTTTACGAGAAAATATCTGACTAAAAAGCAGGAATAATCATCCATACTGATGAGTTTTATTTATGTAAAAGAAATTTATTTCGTTTAGATGGAATAAGCATTCTAAATGACAGACTTAGTATAACAGTTTAACTGAAATTTAAATATTTGTCAAAATTAAAAACAAAAACTTAACTTTCTTTTATTCTATTATGATGCTACATACAAACTATGTGCTCAGATTTGTTAATAATTTTAAATGTAATACAGTACAAAGTCCGTAATCAGGACTTCGGCGATTCTGGATTGTAGATCATCAATTTAAATCTGGTAAGATAACATACAGAAATTATATAATTAAAAATATGAAACCATAATTTATAAAATAAAGAGCAATTATGATCTAAATGGTATCAAAATTTACAAAAAAAAAAAAAAAAAAAAAAAAAAAGCTTAATATTTATTTGTTTATTTTATTAAACATTTCTTTCAATGTAAGTTGTTTAAGTTGCTTCATTATTTGTGCTCTTTAATTCTATAAACAGACATAATTTCTTGTTCATTTACAAAGTTCCACTGTTCTTCAAGTCCTGTAATTGCTGTGTCGAGAATACCGACTAACTTGTCTATCAAAATTTTTTTGTTTTCAATAACCTCTCTGTCACTTTCTTTACTATTGGAAGTGCACATGGGTAAACGCTTTATACGCATGCATAGCGGACGTGCACATTAAAAGCGCATGCGTAAATGCTTTACGCACATGCGCGAGTTTGTGGCTTTGAGGTCCGGATTATGGACTTTGTACTGTATTACAAAATCATCTAAAAAATAATAGGAATCATATTTTTAGTGGCACAGATATGCACTGGTATTCAAAATTTAGAGAATTTTCACGTTTTGTCAATTATATCTAGAACTGCTGGAGAGATATTTAATGAAATGT